CCCTGGAACCGCTTATGATAACGTCCTGAATTTCGGCACAGTTATTTATGATATCAATAACGTAATTATGACGAAGAGTGGTAGATTTTGAAAAGGGGGGCGTGGCACCGCCCATACATGCTGAAATTTTTATATCGCTAATCTCTGGATTCGCTTACGCTAACGTCCTGAAATTTGACACAACTATGTATAGTAGCGTACTTACGACGAAAAGTGGTAGATTTTGGAAAGGGGGGCGTGGCACCGCCCATACAAACTGCAGTTCTCATATCGATTATCTCTGGAACCACTTATGCTAATGTCCTGAAATTTTACACAGCTATTTATGATATCAATAACGTACTAATGGGCGTAGTACCACCCATGCAAACTGAAATTCTCATATCGCTTATCTCTGGAACCGTCCTGATATTTGACACAGCAACATATGTTGTCAATATAGTACTTTCGGCGAAGAGTGGTAGATTTTGGAAAGGGGGGCGTGGCACCGCCCACACAAACTGAAATTCTCATATCGCTTATCTCTGGAGCCACTTATTATAAGGTAATGGAATTTTATAAACTTACATTTATACACATATAAAATCGCAAGAATCATTCAATTGGGAACCATTTTCACCCAGATTTTAAAATCGCGTTGAATGATTGTTGTTTTGTGCAAAAGTTTTTAAAAGGATCAATGTGTTTGTCTTCCGATAGGTGGCGAAGGGATTGAGAGCTATCCTAAAAAAGTCATATTTATGATCAGATTTGTTTCACTTTTAGAACACATATTAGTAACATAAAATTTGGTGTAACTTGGTAGGCCAGTCGTGTATTAAAAAAATATTGGGCTTTGGCCGAGTCTTGACAAAAAACCCGTGTGAAACCACCGTGTGAGAAGGAAATAGTTATTATCTTCTGTTGTAAACCTTCAAGATTCTTTCTCAACCGTTAACGATTCTGATGAAAAAAAGAAAGAGTTTATGTAGATTTGGCAATTTAGTTTTTAACCTCCAAGGGGCTCTGAGACAAATATAATCGAAAGACTTATTTACAGTCTGAATTCGTATATGTTTGACATATTAGGCAGTGATGAACATCTCATCTATATAGGAAAATCGAGGTTCCTTTTTCTGTCTAATTTCAAATGCTACTGAAGAAATTTGGAGGATACTCGGTACAATGTGCATTAATAAATCCGGTATTAACGTTCATAATTCGATTTTAAGTTTTCCTGTAAATTCGCTAGAAATTATGCTGGTGGACTTCAGAATAGTAATTCGCATAAAAGAGTTAGTATTGGTGGCAAGTAAAATTCAAAAAACTATGAAAAAAGATGTCGAATTTCGACAATTGGGCGAGACTAGTATTTATTAATTGACATTCAAATAAGTCCTAACGTAGGTTCTGCAAACATTCATATTGTGCTTTAAAAGCTGCTCACCCCAAACGCATAGCTTTTTAAAAGCTCCTACTACTGTTTAGACGTGAAAGCTTTGGCGGCTGTTTTATGTACAACAATCCTTAGCAGAAGAAAATGTCCATAACTGTAATCTACCCCAACAGTTCTAGTTCCCCAGCCGATGACGTAGGGCCATCATCGTTTTCGAGTCTGCGCCTTCACGCTTCGGAGTTAAACGACGACGCTAATACTTCGTACGATTGCAAGATATGTGTGTCAATGGGTGCAATGGCCCACATGTATTGCTTGTCGAGCATGCATCGCTGCTTTGTGCCGTAGGTGGTGCGAGCGTGGGGGATATTCACCTGAGCCGCGCTGCTTTCCCCCTATGCCATTCGGCTCGTAAGTTCGTGTGTGTGTGTGTCTTTTCGTCGGAAATGTGCAAGCAGGTGAAACAATTATTTTCTCGTTGATTTTTCTTTGACGCATGTGCTTCTATTGATATTTGTGAGTGTGTTTGGCTACCTTTTACTGCGTATGCGGCTTCTCGCTCGCACCTATTATCTCATCTGTCTGTCTCGGTTATTTGGCAGTGTAATATTATTACGCCAACAATAACAATCAACGCAGCGGCAAAGGCAAGCGAGCATCAATAGCAAAGCGGGCGGGGGCAGCTTGAGCTTGTATTTGCACACAATGTGCGCGCTTTGTCGTTTCTGAAAGGCAATGCGATGAAATACGATGCCACACGAAGGTGAAAACGGAGCAGTGGCACGCTCTGTCGCTACCGTTATCTTTACAATAGGTGCAACCCCCATGAATTGCCAAGCGCACATACCGTCAATGGAAAATGCTCGGTTTTCCGACTGCAGCAATTCAGCGCGGGGATGACGTGCCACAACGTTGTTGAAGCTATGATTATAGGACCGACGGTCTGTACTTACTAAGTCGAATGTTTGGGTGCGCGGCGAGGGTCGGCGAGCCGGAATGGTTGTCGCTGTCATGAATCCAACAGGATTATTCCACTTGCAGCTTTTGGGTCGTGTGACTGTTATAGATCGAAGGGTGAATGTAAACGCTTTCCCTCTCGTTTAACAGTCTGGCGCTTTTTAACAACCTTTTTTGGGTAAGTGCTGGGATGGTTGTTCGTCGTCAAGCACAGTATGCGATTTTTGATTATTTAACTTTGGGTTTCAGGACTGTTATTTTATACATATGTTAATAAACAGAAGAAACTTGTTGATGTAGTGCGCTTTTGCATATAAATATGTATACATATATCTACGCACATAAATATGTGCAAGTAGCCAATGTTTTGAAACTAAAAGTTATGGTTGGTTTAACATTGTTTAGATGAAATTAAAAAATCTATTAATTTAGAACACTTGAGGGCCATTCCATTGTGACTGGTGGGACTCATTGACTCTAGAATGCGATGAATTGTGAATTATAACTATGTCGGCGGAACTCATACAACAATGAAAGATATTTTTTAACAAAGATAAATAACTAATGTATAAAATTTCTTTCAAAAAAATACCAAACGATTTCTAAGTTCTTTGTAGCCATTATTTGAATGATTGTGACTGGTGCGAATCAATTAGCCAAAACACTTAATTTCAAGCCAGAGTCTTATGTATTGTAAGATATATAATATAAGCTTTCGTTTTCATAAAAAATTAACCTGATATCATCTTCATAGCAATATTTAAAATTGTGTCTGGTGTGATTGGCCCTTGTGACTAGTGTGAAGTTTCTACAGACAAAACTTACAGCTTCTTTTTATTTTTCTAATATCTTTCAACGGATTAATTAGCTATAGCTTACAATTGAAATAAAGATAATAGTGAAATTTAAAAATTTATGTCGTTTTCCTCTTTTACATGGACGCTTGACGCTAAATGCCAATGGCAAATTATTCGATGTAATCTTGTGGTCAGGCGAGTGTATTTTTAATATAATACGACTTGTAATCGACGTTCAAAACAAATGAAATGCGCGTTCCTTACAAGTCTAAGGTCTTTAAACAGAAATTTCAGTCGAAAATCTTACGTCCCTGGTCATTCATTCCAAATAGCGCGCTAAGAGGTTACTCTGCAGAGTAAATACCAAGTCGTATATTTAGTAACATTTTTCATAAGATACGGTTAACTTGATCCAAAATTATGTTAAGTTCTGATAAAAATATTCCGATGAGTTGATGACCTCCTCCTTTTTTTGAAGTCGGTTAAAAAAATTAATCGTACTTTTTGAAAAAAAAAAAAAATTCTTTTTCCAAAATTCTAATTTACTCGCTGAATCCCTAAAGGCCCAATTAGAGGTATCATTACCAAAACGCCATATCCTTAACTTTGTGGAAGACTTCAAAGGTGTTCATGGTTATGACAAAAAATCAAAAATCAATTGATACCATTGATATGTAGTGTATGTTAATTAAATACACGTAATTCTTATTGTATTATAACAATTTGCACTAACTTAGGTTTTTATAATAGCCAAACGTGTCTCCTTCCACTTCTCTTCTTCTGATAAAACGTTTCGGTCTTTCCCTAAGGCTATTCTCGTTTAATTGAGCAAAGCAGGTTGCGTAAAAGCGAAGGTTTTCCCTGGTGATGTTTGCGTACCCACCACAGCCCTTTCTTCTGTCTTGTAGAAACGTCTTCTTCATCATGAACATAATATTTTTTATTTTGAATATATATTTATTTTCCTTTGCGAATAATTAAACTTTTTAGAGCAAGATTAAATAAATATTTCCACTCCGAAGTTAAAAGTGTATTCGTTGCCCATATATGTATGTGTGTGTTCAGCAAGTGACGCGAAAGTTGGACGCCGACATCGCTCATCTGGACGAAATTTGCTGTTCGCCGGTATTGTGCATAAGGTATAAAGGCTCTGAGCAACACAGAAGAAAGGAAAGAGTTTAAATGCCTTAGTGTCTTTGTTAGCGAAAAACAGAAGCATTCAAGCAAGCACAGGTGAAAGAAAAGAGTATTCTAAGTCCGCCTCTATAATTTGTTATAGTAGTGTACAGCACAGCAGACGGTAATGAACATCAGGTAAGACAACAGTCAACAACCTGTGTGAATTGCCGAGAAGAATTAAGTAAGTACATCTTAAAATGAGAGCGACGACGAATTAGTAAAGTAAGAGAAGCCCGCTCTTCGGTTACTTTAGGACTTGTAGAGAAGAGAAGAACACTTAGAACACCAACATCAACCACCGACAGAAGAGCAACAATAGGCAACAGCAAAACATATGATAACACGTAACCGAGCAGAAGCCGTTCGTCATCATCGACATCGTTAAAACCGGAAGGTGCACGAACGAGCGTCCAAATGGAGCTAGCAAGCAAGTGTTTAGGGTAAAGGTAGATGGACAAAGTGAGAAACGGATGGCCGGAGGAACACGAGCAACAAGCATGGGATAGCTTTGCCATCAAGCCGTATTTGGTGGCGTGCACGTCGCCTTCGCCAAAATGCTTGTTGATGATGACGATGATGAAGAACGGACTGGAGGCCAAACATACGCGCGCACACTTGTCCCTCACGTATACAGTCTCACGCATAAAGGTGGCCTGAAGAGAGTAGTTATCGAATGAAACAGGCTGGTTGGCAGCAAGCGGACGGATATCCATAGCTCGGTTGTGCGCTCGTTGGTGGTGGTTGTTCACTGTTCGCATTTGTAGAATGCACGAAAGTACGCCGTACGAACCAAGCGACGAATTCCACAGATTCAGAATCCGAACTCCGAATAAAAAATTGGTATATTACCTTAGAATGCCAGTCGTTCTTACTTCAGTCTTCGTACAGTCTTTGCTTTAACCCGTTCCAATTCTGTCCGCCGTCGCTCTATTAAATAATTACAACAAAAATCAAATACAACAAAAATAAACAAAACATCTGAAACAAGCATAACGAGAATCGCTATCGCAAAAACAAAAATTTAATACGAAAATATCTAAATAGCAGCAGCTGCAGCGGCGAAAATATAAACAACAGCAAAAACAAAATCCACACTCGCTAAGGGCAGCCACAGCAGCAGCAACAGTGTCTCAGTATTTAACAACATTAAGGCTTTCACCCCCGCTCAAACGTCACCGTCGTGCCGTCACTGCCGTTCTGAATATAGACTTCGAAGCCTCAGTCGAAGTCAGCGTCAAAGTCGAAGCCACAGTCAAGCGTCAGCAGTCGAACGTCAGCACACGACGACAAAAGCCAACGAGAAGCTCCAGAGGAGAAGAAGACTCCGCGGAACGCACACAAAATTTCAATATCCAAATCAAAGTTGCGTTCAAATCGAACACGGCCGCAATAGTAGCAACACCGTAGCACCGAAACACGCGGACTCGACTCTCGAGATAGCAAACTTTACCTACTAGTGAATTCTACTACGGCAAAGACAACGTCGACGATCACAATCAGCTACCAGATATCAGCAGAAAATTGCAAAATATTTTCCATTTCCGTTGAATTGGTTTTCCAGTCTCAATCAAATCCAATAAATTCGTAAATCCGAAATCCAGCTTCGAAAAGTTCTTTAGGTGAGAAAGAAGCAAGAAGATCAGAATATTGTCAACAAAAACTTTCTGAAGTTTCTTCAGTCTGTAATATTTCAAAAGTTAGTGTTATTGTGCAATAAAAGGTGGAAAATATTTATTTTATGGCGCTTGCTGAACAATCCGCAAAAACATATGCCAATAAGTGTAATGTTGTGCCGAAAGTTTTTGAATTTTTCACTTATTAATTTTTGGTAAATAATTTCTACACTGACTTCCTTTCTGGTCAGCGCTGTGCGTATTTCACGTTTTAGCTGATCTTTATTTCTAATCTAGAGAACACTCGTATTTCTACTAACTTACTAACTATCTATTTTACTAACCAATTGAATGCTAATCTTTCTACTCTTGTATGACTCACTATTAGTTTTGTAAAAGTAAGGCAGATATTAAGTCAAGTAAAAGTATCAGTTGATAATTCAAATATATTCTACCAATGGGTCATGGCCTCCAAACAGGTCCGAAGAATCCAAAACGTCTTTTGAATTGGCCTCCTTTTGTTCATTTTATTTATGTAAATTTATGAAAAAGCATATTCCATGAAAAACCCGGCTGTTACTTAATATAAAAAAAATAAAAAAATCATGAAATTTATTTTCGCGTAAGAAGCATGCAAAAAAATGGATGGTATTATAAAGAGCGTTTCATACTTCATACCGACCATTCGCTAAGTAATCTGAACAACAGAGTTGGCAGGGTGGCAGCACCAGCAAAGGTTCATTGATTCTTTAAGAAAATACTTGTGTGCTGCTTTTAAGCCGTGCTCAAGTAACAACAACGAGTACAATAGTGGCTAAAGAATGTGCGCTAGTAAAAAAATGTGAGTGCGGTAAAGCAGTAAATATATGAGGAAATAAAACTGAAAGAAGCGCAAAAACTCAGCCTAAATGGAGCCCAGGTTCATCGGCAATAACAGCCTTCAAACTGGCCAAAACAGAACGTAGTAGTTGTGTAATGAATTCACCAACGCAGGTGAGGCGACTCGAACGACTTAGGCGGACAAGTGTGCGAGAAGTATGGTCGAAGCAGAAGCGCACAAGGGGCCAATAAAAATTTCATTATGGCCAACAAAATGAGCGACGAAATGACTAGTCAGCGAGCTAAAAAAAAACAGCGGGCCATCAACCGGCAAAAACACGTTTTCTTTGCAAGCCGAGAAAGAACCAGCACTTAACGAGCATATGAGTGAGCGTACGAGCAGAGCGCAAACGAAATTATAAATTAAGAAGTTGAAAGACTTAAACAAAATCACACAACGAGAGTGTAAATAAAGTAGAGGTGAAGGAAAAATATCAAAACCTCGAAAATACTCGAGCGCTAAATAACGAAAGAGTGCAGAAATATTGAAAGAAAGAATGTATTTAATGGCAACATACAATAAAACAATTCAAAATGGGAATAAGAGAAAAAAATGTTGCCAAGAGATGGAATAAGAAAAAAGCATTGAACAAGTAAACGTTTATTCTTGGAATTACACGCATTTTTATGCAGGCCAACAAGTAAACACAACCACAAGTATTTAAGGTAAAGCGAAAAGTAAATTGAAAAGACCTGAAAAGGAATATACACACAAGAAAAATGCAGCAAGTAAAATGTTATCAAAAGACAGCCAGTACGGCCAGAAAGTCAGTCGTTAAGCGGCAAGTACGGTCGGCCGAGAAAAAATTACAATAAGAGCATAAAAATAATAAATGATTGGGAAAACATCAGCAGCGCAGTCGGAAAATGCATGAAATGTGCGCATACAAAATAGAATTAAAAAGTCAAGAAATCAAGGAAAGCACCCCAAAACAAGTTGGGAAACTGTGCCGTCATTATCAATACAAAGGCAAAGTCTGATTAGCCGCGCCAGCATGATTTGGAGAAATCGTGGGCATTGTGGCCAAAATGGATTTCGAGCTCGTTTTCCTTCAAACCGTACTACACACAACATAGCGATTCCTTTTGCTTTACCTGTGTATTTATACCCTTTGATAAATGTGTATGTAATATGTAGCGTGGAATTCTGCTGGGGTCGCCTGCGTATCACAAGCGTAGCTTAGCGAATTTGGAAAAAAGAAGGGAAACAGGGGCTTTCGAGATTTACACGTGTTTCTCACTTTAAGCCAGACACTTCCGCTGACCCTGCGATTCATACGAATTAATCGCTTGACTTGAGTAGAATGCTCCTCACTTCTTGCCTACTTTTCCATAGCTACCTTTTCGAATTCTAAAGCCACTTTTTGTTTTCTTGCTCTTTTCTCACCTTAGGTACATGCTATACTTAAAACTCTTCTGCTACGTTTTCTTCTAACTTTTCACCGGCTCGTTCATTTCGGTTTTGCTGCTGGCAGAGAATCATTAACAATATTTCGACACTCGTTATACAAGTGTAGCATTTATAACAAATACCCTTCAAAAAATAAACCAGAAGCAAGCGACAAATAATAAAAAATTACTGAAAACTTCTTACAGTGGCAAACAAATTCAGTGCAAAAAACAAAGGTGCGCACGAAATTTCTAAGTTAAACACAAGAGAAGTAAGCTCTCTAGACTCTAGAGGTATAAGCAGCAGTCACAAAAACGGCAGTAGCTGCCAAAAGTTATCAGTGTGTTAGTCAAGCAAATAAAACCGGTAAAACATGTTAACTAATTTCGTGCGTGCGAAACGAAAACCGCGCCAAGCGAATCTGCAAGCAAGAAAGCGAAGCTAAAAAAAAAAAACTAAAAAAAAACATTTAATATCAACATCAGATGGCAAAAAACGCAAATTAAAATCAAGAAGGATTTCAAAGCCGAGAAAATCCAAAAATCCAGTCCAAAAAATAAGACGATTTTATCAAACTGCTTTCATTGTATTTTCTTATGGCCTAACGTGTTTTTGGAACACGAGCTAGAGTTTTGGGCTTAGCTTCGGTCTCCGCTTCTCTACACGCCATTAAAAATTAGGCTTCAAAAAACATGCATATGTATACATCTATATACATACATATTGTATGTAGCTTAAATATGAAAAATATATACATATGTATGTATATAATTTCACGGCAATGAAGAGGAGTGGAGGTTGTGCGTGGCTCCAAATAATTATTGTATTTCTTACGCGCGCATTCATTCCGTAATAATTACGACGCTTAAGAACTATAACAACAGATTTTTTGTTTGCCAAGAAATTAGTCTAAAATTTAATAATATCTTCAGTATTTCAGTGCGAGTGCGTGTGCATATCGTGAAAAAAGCACAAAAATAAGAGACGAAAAAAGCCAATAGAACAATTGCGAGAAATTATAAATACAAAGAATAACGAATAATTGCGAAAAGAATAGCAATAAGTTTTGAAAAATTAATTGCTGCTGCAGCCTAAATCACTTCGGTTTCTTCCGTAACACTCTGTGTCTAATTCAAAAACACATTAACAAGAAAACAAAGCATTCAGTTGGTAAACTACATTGTTTTTCATCCACTAACATATCTGTTTATTATACATACTACACTTACTATTTTAATAACGCACACTATTGTTTTAAGAGTGTTATTTACTGCTTGTTTTTTTTTTTTGTAATTGTACCTTTAGTTTCTGGTAACTAAAAAAAATTTAATACCGAATTTCCACGGGACACTAAATGACTTAAACTGTATGGGAAAGTTGAGCATTAATTAATACCCATGTCATTACAATATTCCTCTGCTGTAGGGGGTCATGATCCACACAAGTAAGGAAGTATAAATATCGAGTTTGGTAGAAATCGATAAATCCCTTACCGAGATAAACTTATGTATGTAAGTGGGCAGTTCCACGCCCATTTTTCAAAAATCTATAATAATCGTATTTCTTGTTAAGAGATTGCGTTAAATATTAACTCTGAGTAAAATAGCGCCCTTAGCTATAGAAATATACAAGTTTTCGTATTTATCGATATTCCTTTTATGTGGGAAGTGGGGGTAATTTAATTCCGATTTGTAAAATGTCCAACATACATATTTCGTTTTTGTACCAAGGGCAATAACTTTACCGAGTTTGATAGAAATTGATAGGACGATTTTCGAGATGCACATATGAGGCCGGAGAGAAAAAGTGGCTTAACCCAACTTTTTTTTTGTACTTAAATACCTGCTTAAAATAGTGTCAGATGTGATAATTTTTTAAACATATTTCTTAATATTAGGACTCAAAGCTACATGGTATACCATCAAATTATGGAACAAGCGACACTCATTTTAAAATTTATCACAGTTAACTACTCCCATGGCGTCATATCGATGGTCCTCTGCCATAACGGCACAACTCGAAATTCCATGTTTTTGAGTTATATAGCGGATTAGGTTTATAAATAACCACATTTTTCAGTGGCAAATCGACATAGGCTTAGTTGTTACCAATCCGACACAATCGCAGTTTTGCCATTTGTCACAAAACCGAAGTAGTCAACCCTTACTAGTGAACAGTGGTCTCACATTTATCGTGAATATTGGCATAAGTCAAAAACTCTCGATAGGTTAGTCATGCATTTATGTAAACTAACGACACTTTTCGTTTTGTGCCGTTGTTCAGCAATACAAATGGATTTTTTTTCGTTTAACTAATTACAAGTTGTTACTTATTTCGTACCTTTGCAGTCTAAAATCTAACTACTTGCAACTAAATCTTTAGAAAAAATTATAATTTGAAAGCTTACAAATTTCCCTTACAGAATGACTGGAATCCGGAATATTTTCGTTCCAAGACATATTATTGCAAAAGTACGAAACACAAAATCTTTAACTGGCTCTACTGAAATATATGAACTTTTGAGTTGTGTCGTTATTGCAGACGACCATCGACATGTAGTCGTCCCATTTCCGATGGGAGGTGGGCGGGTTTGTTTTGCAATTTCAAAAATGTTCAACAAGTTTACCTTAGTGAGACTCTAACCAATGTTCGTACTGAGTTTGGTGGAAGTTGGTGAAGCCGCTACTGATATGCAGCATTCCTTCATAAGTAGGTGGGTGCGGTGGCCATTTTCCAAAAATTTCATAATGGTCTTATTTTATGCCAAAATACTACTTCACATACCTATATTCGGCAATTTGGATCCAAGATTTGCGGAAATATCGTAGTTTTTACACTTTTCGAAAATACCGTCATATTGGAGGTAGGCGTGGTTAACGTTCGATTTAGCGCATTTTCATTACCAATGGATAAAGGGCAACTTTTATTTCATTCAGATATCCAAATTTTTGCTCAAGTTACCGGGTACACGGAAAGACGGCCCGACAGTCAGGCATGCCTTAGCCGATTTCGCTCTTCATTCTGAGAATTTTGGTGTATATATTTCTATATCTATCTCGATTCATTTAGGCTGTTAGAAGAAACCGTTATGCGAACCCTTGTGCCATGATCGCTCGGGTATAAAAATCAAAAACTGGAGGAAAACGGCTTTGAACTTTACAGTTTAAAAAGTGGTAAAAATGAAACAAAAAACATTTTCTTATAATATTTAAGCTATTTTTAACCGCCATGATATTTTTACTAAGACATGGAATTGTAATTGGTCACACAAGCTCTTGGCTCAATCCTTATCCATTCGTCCTGAAATATACCAGCCAGAAAGCCGATTATGTATAATAATAATAATAATAATAATAATAATGCATTCGTCCTGAAATATGTTTGCATTCTTTATACGCGGTTTTGCATTTCGTTGATACGCGGTTTTCTACTTTAAACGACGATATGTGAATTGTTTGGATTATGACACCCTTACGACAAAAGAACTATTAGGGAGTTCACAAGGTGTTGTAGTTACTATGTCTTAATAACCGTTAAGCCTATCTACGCACGATATTTTGCGAGTAGAATGAATTATTTTCCACTTCACGACTAGTGGAAATTCTGCACAAGTGTTTTTCCTTGGTACTGGTGACCAATTTAAGTAGTTGGTTATTTGATGCCCATTGAGTGCTTCAAAGTCGCTGAATAACCTGTTTTTTATATGCTGGAAGTGATTTTCATATTCATAAATATTCTACTGAAATTTACTTTACTAATACTCAATTCCTTTTCGGATATGTAAGTAAAATATAAATTATTTGCTTATTTTAGATCTAGAATGATTCAAAATAGTTTTAATTGTTGCTGGGGAAATGGGTTTTAATAACACTCAGTAAATATTTGAAAAATATGGTGGTGAAACGTGGTGATTTTCTGCTATAAAAAGACAACTTTCTCCTACCAAATTACATTGTGCAAATGGGACATCCATTTGAAACTTTTTGTAAAAGTACAAGATTTTAATTTATTTACGAATTTTGCATTTGTCATTTCTGATTTAGTTTAATTTGCAAAACTTTTTCTACAAACCTGTCAATATGTATCTATGTATATTTTGTAATATTTTTATATAATTTATTTCAGCAACAGCAAATATCAAATTAATAAAACCTCGGTGGTATCTTGTCCTATATCAAACCAAAACTATTTTCCCAATCCAAATAAATCGCTGACACAAGCACTAAAAATTTTCATTAACCAATTCGAAAACAAACAACAAAGCATTCGAACGTGTGCGACATCAAATTGTTGCTATTTTGAAATAGAAATAAAAAAAATACGTTAAGCCAAGGTTTTTGCTTTTACTTTGAGCGCAGAATTCTTACATACTTGGAAAAAATATTAGCTAAGTTTTCACCCGCAGGTACGAAATTTACACATTTCAAAACATCTAAAAATCAAAATATTAATTAAAAAAAAGAACCTTTATCACGAAGAGCACATAAAGGAATCTAAGTAAAAACGAGTTTTCACTGAAAACTCGCCACAAATTTACAAGAAATCATTAAATAAAAAGCTTTAAACAGCAAAACTATTTATACAAATTTGACGGCCATTAGGGATAGAATAAAGAAAAATTAGGGCAGCGCATATAAAACAGCAGGAAGTGTTGCAGAACAATAACAGAATGCACAGCAAGTGAATGGAAACTAGCCAAATTCTAGAAGAGCAAAGTTATAAATAGCAGCCAAAATAATTTTATAAAGTAATTTTGAGAACAAATTAATTTTAAAGGAATCCAGAGGTTGTTGAATATTTGATTTTACACTTAAAAAAGCAAAATACAAAAACCAAATAAAATAAAATATAGAAAGCCAGAAGAATCCAAACAAATAATTTTATTATTACATATCAGTGTTAGGACAATTTTAGTATTAAACGAAAGGCAACAGTGTAGGAAAAAAGTAAGGAATTGTGAAGTGAAAAGTGCAATCAGTAGAAAAAGTATTGTAAAAAGGTTGTTTACGTAACAAAAAAGCAAATATCAAAACCCACACAAAAGTAGCATTGTAATCAAAGTCAATTCCGAGACATATTTATATGCGCGAAAGCAAAGAAAACCAAACCATTAGTCAATCATAAATGTGCATAAATTGAAAAGGGAAAAATCTCATCACTCCCGAATGTATCCTTTTTGTGAAATATTTCCAAACTAATAAAAAGTAAAAGCAGAAATACAAAGTAATTAAACAAAATAATTGAAATATATTTAATTAAGTGGTAAGCAGTGCACGAGAGTGTTCTCTGTGACACCCAATTAGGCAGACTAAGATTCAATATTTTTAAGACCCGATTCAGCTTTGGTGCAACAATCAACGACGCACCAAACTGACAAGAAAGTAAGCGTTTTGACAATCAGCGAACGTTAGCAAATATACACACATAAATACATACTTTCAATAGTATTTGTATGGCAGACGTATTTATGGGAGTAGAAAATATTTAAAAGAATTAACTGAAGTAGTACATTATATTTGCTATTTTCAAATTTTACAAGTAGCGAGCACTCTAAAAATCCAGCAACAACTAGTGTGCTCTACAACCTTACAATCGATACAACCTTTACAAATTCTACAAAAGCCCGAATCTTTGAACTATACAAATTCTGCGATCTACAATCTCAACTACAAGGCGCTGTGTGATCTATTTAGGAAAAAGAAAAGTGAAAATCTTATTCTCAATCAATCTTAATCTTGAACTTAACTTGACAATCCAAGCCCCACATTTGTGCAAACAAATATTTCTTAGACCTCTATGTGCTATAAAAAAAAATAAAAAGCACACACACTTTACATTTTATTACTCTTTGTATGACTAAATAATCAAATTAAACGTATTTCGATACTAAATAGCTTACATACATTCAAACTTAACCAACTTACTAACTATAACTCTTTAATAAATATATTTACTATTTGTAGCGTATCTTTGACGTGATTTAACTCATAGGTTCATGTATTAAAAAAAAAACATAACAAATCAAAAGATAAACTTCTGCACAACGTATTGACAATCTTTCACTAAATATCACATCGTATACATATATCTATACATATATATTTCTAGCTGTAATCAACTATTTGTGGTATCTACACGTGAATCAAACGCTCGCTGTGTCTTTTCAATCACACACTTGTGACAATCTACAATTTCTTGTAAGCAAATACAGGAAACAATCATTGGAAAATATCATTTAATCTGAAGCGTTTCAAACTTTTACCTTGAAAGCAAAGCTCATACAGGATTTTAACAAACGATTAAGTACTTTTAGAGTATTTCGCTTATTATCATTGAATCAGTGAATAAGGAAGCTAATTCCAAACATTAAATATTAATCCAAAATCCAAAACAGAAAAACTCTTTTTAGCGAATTTCATCTTGACAAATTTGTAGTTAAAATAAAACAAAAAATCGTGTAGCACAAACTTTGTAGTATTATCTTAGCGAATTACTCAAAAGTGAGATTAACTTGCATATATAGCGTTTAAGTACCATCATATTGAAAATAAAAAATTATTAAACAACAAAACTCAAATATTGTAAAGCAACAATTTGTGAGAAGAAAATTGCAAATTTATTGAAATCATTAACCACAATCATTACTCTGAACTCACCACACATTGAACAAATCAAAAACCTTGTCGAACCCTGCCATCCGATTCCTTAAGAAGTCCTTTGCATACCACAAAACGCGACTACAGCTCGACATTCAAAGTGTAGTAAAAATCACAAACCGCGCTAATATCACTAAAAGAATATTCAACAAAAACATCAGCTAAGAAACTGAAGCTCAAAAAAAAAAAAACAAGTACCACATACACAAAAGTATCTATAATAAACCAAGGAAATAACGTTCAAACAGAAACAAACAAAACCAAATAATTAAAGATAAAAAAGTTATTAAAACTTAACTGGAACAGTTCCTTAAAAAACGACTCGTCGTCAGTATCCACTGTGCTAGTGAAAATTGAAGTGTGAAAGACTGCGCTAAAGTCGAATAGAAAAAATATATAAATTACATAATTCAACAACAACCACAGCGGTACAAAAATCATTCATCATTGACGCGTTAAAAGAAACGGTTGCAACAACAGCTTCAGTGACAGCGGCTTTGGCAACAGCGACAATCAAAGAAGAACCTGTGCAAGATTTAATTATGGTAAGAGAACTCATAAAATAAATCACGAAACAACAAACTCAGTATATTTTTTGTAAGAAATAAAATAGCCAATGAAACAAAAAAAACACAATACACGAAATGGATAAGCAACGAGAGTTTACGGTGCATGCTAAGATGAGCGGTTAGCGTTGCTGTTTTTGCATATCGATGATGCGGGTTCGATGCCTGCTGAAGCCTAGAAAAGAAATCTTATGATCTCGGAAATAACAACTATACCTTTTACCGTTTAGACTTTGTTGCTTCTTCCATTTTTTCTAAAAACAAATATAAAGTGGTACACAACTCAGTAAAACTGCGAAATGTAAACGGGGAAAAAATTAAAGTTCAGCTGCAAATAAAACGCACTCATACTTTTCGCGAGTAGCTATTTATTACTTAGTTATGTGTTGTGATATTTTTATTTACATGTGCCATGGAAATTTTCATTAAATGGATTTGTCCAACTAATGATCCCTAATAAAATCCCCATGTTTACCGCAGTTGTTTGAATAAATGGACTTAAAATCGTTACGTAAAACATTTTCGTAAGGCAAAGGTTTGTTTTGCGGATTTCGAGTTTTGCAGGGTGATTAGTAAACAATCTGAAACATTCGATCAAAGCCTCGACCAGTCATGTACATGAAAGGTGGATTCATTTTATTAATAGCGTCGATAGATGAAACCGTGAAAATTGCATTCATCGGCTGATTTTCTGAGAGAAGTATTCAATAACGACAATATAATTAAACAAGTTAAATAAAAGCTTATAAAAAAGAAAAGAAAATGGGCACTTCCCACAATTTGCTGGGTGTTTGGCAGAGCTTCTCCACGAATGTATGTTGGTGCGCACCACTGGCCAACAACAACATTACAGTGGGCAAACAACGCAGGTTGAAAATAAAGCACATAGTAGGTACAAAATTTATTAAATACTCAGTGGGGTAGCGTTTTTATATTTACAGATAAACAAGATTAATGGAGCCTAGAAAATGCAACTCCTAAATTGCCTCTTATCTTTTAAATTTTTACAACTTTTGAATGCGGAGATATGGAGATTTTCCCTTTTCTTGCTACCAACTGAAAATTTAAAGAGCTAAAATCATATAAGTCACTCAATAAATATATGTATGTACATACATATATGTAGTGGAAAAGAATCGCTTTTCTAGACCTCCTGCAATTAATATTTTCTTTGAGGAATTCATTTGCATCTGAACGCAATAGAGACAACTTTTGACATTTTTGGTTTTTAGAGTTACTTGAAAAATGCATAAACCTAAACACTTTGAAACACCATCACGCGAAAAATGTAAAAAAAAAATCAATCCTGTTACCGAATATGACATAGTCTAAAATATTTTGAGAATATAGGTTGCAATTTTTAAAATGAAAGGCAAAGGCATGTCAAAAAATATTTCATTTGTTAACTTTCCAATGATGCTCTTTTTGCACGTGTAGCATGATATAGCGAACTTACATATGAAGGGGTTAGAATCATAAGGTTCTAAGTGACATTTTTTTTTAAATATAAATTTTACCCATATTTGTATAGTTAAATATAGTGTTTATTTGGTGACAAAGAGTAAACATTCTTTGAATTAGTTAATTAACCTGCATTCATTTAGGCAATAATCATTTCAAATGCATTTACCCAGCATTTACTATAAGTAATCCACTTTAACCTTAATTATCTCAAACAAATTTCAGATTTACTTAGATCCTTTTGATTTTAACCCCTTCATATAAAAAATTTTGTTGGGCCAACTTAGCTGTTGATATTTGCAAGGCCCACAATGTTAAGAATACATTTAAACAAATTGCCAAGTCCATTGGTTTAGTTCTATGTGCTGGGGAGCCAAATAGAAGGCCATAACTACCTCTTTGTTACCTATAATACGGAATTACCGTATATAAAAGACTAAAGGTTTCCAAAAATTTAGGATTTAAAATACATTCATATAAAACGTTTTTAGTAAAATCACTGATGCTTAAAAAACTACATTTGCAAGTAGCATTGGCACATGTATTTAAAATTATCGCAACACTTTGTTTTCCACAAAATCTTTGAAGAAAGCACACAAAAACATAGAACTCCTGTCAGAAATAGCAACCACGTATCTAACATAATTATGTATACTCGTACAGAAAATAACAATTTCTTCAAGGGGAAAGAGCTGCGGCGGTCACTTTTTAGATTTTTTTTTTATACACTTTACATTTTTCATAATCTGTTATTGAAAATCCGCTACCGCCAGATAAGCACCCGTTTCGTCTGAACTCACATTTCTATAACTAAAGGATTTGCAAAAAAAAATCTATGTATTAATTTTATTCAGCTACATATAACTAAGGATGTAGAGAGTTCTGAGTTTTTCCTATTTGTAGCGAACGCTTCACTGCATTTTCAGCTTTTCGCCTCTACTTTTCGCCTTCTTAAACTTTCCGTCTTTCTTTACACTTTTTTTCTTAGTTTTTCTTGCATATTGATTCCTTCAAGTTTTCATCGAGCTGCACTATTCAAAATTACAATCTTCTCGCTATCGCTCACTCTCTCGGGTCAAGTGGTAGCTGTTAAGCTTTAATAATTTTAGCAACTATAAAAACACAAAAGGAAAAATTAATCTTCTCCATGCTCTGTTTGGAAACAACGATTCCTTTCTGCTCTTTTTTCTCCACTTTTTCGCACTTATTATCAGTAGCTGTTCTCACTGTTTTTTCTTCCTTCTCTTGCTTCTTGTTTAAACACCTATCACTTGATGCTCTATATCAGTCTTTATCTCTCTTTCTCTGTCTTACTTCGCACTAAATAACTTATCTTACATTTTGATTAAACCAACTATGTCTTATATATATATATATATATATTTAATAAATGATACTCATATTTTTATGCTTTCATTTTGAAAAATTTATTTATAATAACCACCACTATCACGTCATAAATACATACACACATAAAAAGAATAGAATGTATTTCACTGCATTTCGCATAAAAGGCAAAAAAAAAAATAACAAATGAACCCAACTTCACAACAGCAAATGCAATTGTTGCAAGCTCTCCCGGCGGCGACGCATCTGCATCAGTTGCACCAGACGACATCACAGCCTCCGTCAGCAGCGTCCACTTACCAAACATACCCGGCCAGCATGCTGCAACAGCACACAGCGCAGCACGCCCAACAACAACAGCAGCAATTCCACCTGCAACAACAATATCATTTTCAACAGCAGCAACATCAACAGCAGCAGCAACAACTGCAAATGTTGCACACCTACATGCAATTGCAGGCGAATAACCTGGCCGCCGCCACCGGCACACCCACCAAGTATCAGGCTGCTGCTGCTGCTGCTGCCGCTGCCGCTATCCAACAACAGCAACAACATTACCAGCATCAACAGCAAATGGCATCGCCTCCACCACCGCCGTCTCAACAGCAGTACTTTGCCGCCGCCACTGCAGCGGCCGCGCCGCCACACCAGCTCACAATAATACCGGCGGCGGCCTGTAATGGCTCTGCTGCGGTTGCTGCCGCCATGTTCGCAACGGCCACTGCCACAGCTGCGGCGAATGCCAACAATGTCGGATCAGTTGCAGCCACACCAGCATCCGCAACACCATCCAACAATGTAAATAATAACATGCTTAATCTATCTGCAACAACTAGTTCTCGTACTGCAGCCAAAACTGCAACTGCTGTCGGCCCCGGCATCGGTGCCATCAAACGCAAAGGCGGTTGCGGTATTGGGCTGCTAGCCGTGCCGCAGTACGCGCCAACCACGTTTGTGAAACGCAGCAGCAGCGGCAACAGCGTGCACAACGCCGTACTCCTCCAACACTATGGCGGTACTGGCCGTCGTGGCGCGGCTAGTGCAGTGGCAGCCGCTTGGGACTGTCGCGGTGATGACGAGACGCGTTGTGTAGCGACAACTGAAACAGTGCTTTGCACAGCGAGCGCCGACGAGCCAGCGGAAATGGATTTGGAGGAGGCGGAGTTGATGGACGAGAAAGGGACTGCTGCATGCGTTATCGCTGGGACCTGCGTCGAGGGCAACTTGTCGACTGGCAGCAGCTGCAGTTCGGCGTCTTCTGATTGTTCTTCTATGCCATCGCCATCCTCTACTACTACTATTACTACTACTGCTACTACTACACTCCACTTATCTTCTCCTAAAAAGGTTTGTGTACGACACTTTAGACCGCTTGCTGCCTTACTATCTAAATTTCACTCTTCATTTCATAGCATGGAAACTAACTGCTTGCGCAACTTTTATTCGTTGTACTCTAAGCCTTTTGTTGCTTCCTTGGCAGGTCGCTTGGTATAGTTCGCACTGCGCTGTTTCTAAATAATGAATTGCTTGATTGTCGCAAGTGTTTTGTTGTATTATTATATTTATATATGCCACTTTGCTAACAGCTTGCCTATCTAATATGATTTTAAATACACAAACTTATTAAAACATGATAGCCGCCTAAGTTATAAATGTTTCTGGTAGACCTAGAGTATCCGTTTAATATAGAGCTTCCACTGGCAATCATACTTTGGATGTTGTGAAAGTGTAAAAGGAATTCGCTTTTATTTAGAGTAGATTGTAGAGTAGAAAATGTACTCAGCGCGTAAATACGTAAAAGCTTTACAACAGTACGAGCTAACTCTCATTCGGCAGTTAACAGTCGACTGACGATTATGACAGAAGCCGTCGTTGTGAAACTGACCCTTAAACAGAATCAGTGTTGCGGTTGAGAATTTTCGGAAAGTCGCAAAAAAGGGGTAATTGACAAAAAAGGGTCACTATAAAATTTTTGCTTTTCTTTACTAGTAAAAAAATAAATCTGAGATCCCAAAACAAAATCAAATTTACATGTATTATAAAGTCTTTTCGCTTTAAGAAGAAAATAGCGGGAGAAGCTTTAAACAAAACATAGAAACCGAGTTGCCTGCAAAGAGAACGAGTTGCATTTCCTTTAAAAGTTTGAAGTGGTGCATGTTTTCGTACTTACAGGAGGAAATATTTTTTAATAGCATGGTTCTCTTAAAAATTCCTGAAGCAAAATCCCTGAAAAGGGGCAAAAGTCGCAGATAATTTTCCAAAGGGGCAAAAAAATCAAAAATTTCAAAAAGTCGGTTCAAAGGGTATTGGCGCCCAAAAAGAGTCAAATTGCCCCTTTAGTTGCACAACGGCAACACTGAACATTATCACATTTTCAAGTAAAGTAGTTAACTATTGCTCAATGTTGTTATAGATAATTTGTTATTACCGAATCATCTGGCATTGATTATGTGTTTATGAAAATGTATTCACATTTCCTCTGAACCTAGATAAACCAATTGTTGGCATAGTATGAAACCTGTGGAAACGCCGACCCACGGGTGATATCTCTTGAATTATTAATATGCGCGATGTATAGCAACTGTCGATGCCTTCGGGCTACGAAAATAATTCTAATTGGTTCTGGTAAAATTTTTTTTAGTTTCACTTTTACTTCCACAAAATTTTGATTACAAGAAAAATACTGATAAAAATAAATTGTTTCATAAAAAGAGGGTTGAAATCTTGAAATCCCTGCCCGTATTTTGTTTGTAAGTGAAATATGATTGGCATTGTGCTACTATGATAGCACGGCCGAGTAATCATAGCCAACTTATGTACAGTAGTCGAAAAAATTATAGCCGCACAAAATTTTGACAAGTTTTAAAATATTATTTTTGTTGTTATTTAATTTCGGTTAGTTTTTATAGTTCGTTCTTTACCAACATCCGTATAAATAAAAGTTTAAAGGCAGTGTCACACGATTGGGTTTTTGCCAAAATTTGGTGTAAATCGTATCCCAATTGTTTGAACACCCAATATATTTTTCACTATCCCAATCACGAAAATTAATTTATTGAAATTTTTCAATGGAACATCGCTGTATTGTACCAATCTTTTGACTACAAAAAAAAAACTTCCAATTTTTTTACCAATAGCCCAATATAAAAATTTGCAAATCTGTAACAAATGTACCAATGAGTGACACCGCCTTAAAAATTTATGCAATTTAAAAAAAAAAAATCTACAAATTTTCATGAAATTTCGAGTTTTTTAATTAAATTCTGAGTATGAAGTTTTGTTGCGCATTGAATTCTATTTACACGAAAATTTGTTGATTTTTCTCTAGTATTGCACAAATGAGTAGTCCACTTGCAGACAGCGTTATGTGATTTTATAATAGTGAGCCATAAATTAAAAAAACGTCATCAACAAGTAACATCCAAATTGTGTATTTCTCTTTATTATCTGAAAATTTGGATAAACAAGAGCCTAATAACATTAAAAAACAATATCCCAGTGTGGTAGTTTTGCAAATTTTATATATTAAAATTGAATATAGCGAGTTTTGAAACAGTAACTTTTACATAGCTATCTTTTTTTAGCTTTTCGACTTCGCTCTTCCATGAAGATTGGTCTGCTTCTTTTTTACGACGCCTTCCACTAGGCACCGAAAATACCAAGTTTTTTTTTTGCAGTTTTCTAAGTTCATCAGAAGATGGAGACGTTTGAAAGTGTATAAATACATACATGAGTATTATAGCGATTTTTGCAATAGTAGTTAACATTTGATGCTATTTTTTTAGAAAATAGAAAGATTTTGCACTGTATTGTTAGTGGACATGTAACTACTTTAAATACTGGTACGTTACTCACCAAAAACTAAAAATCTAAAAAAATTCACGTAGCGCCTTTGCAAGTGGACTCCTCAAATTTAGAAACATGGATTTCCACGGGTTTTGTTAAAGAATGAACTATATTTTTATTTGAAAAAATAACAAAAGTTCAATAGCAACAAATTTAATACGTTAAAACTTGGCAAAAAGTGGTTCGGTTATAATTTTTTGACCACTGTATGTATTTTTTTATATCTTTAATTGGACTTTCACATTGTACATAAAGATAGTACACAACAAAATTAAGAAATATATGCCTTTTTTGCCTTTTTTAAAGCTCATTTTGTCTTTTTCAAGTTTTAGTGCCTTAAAATCCTACATTTCTACATTTCGAGGCCTTGCTCCTCTATGTAGCCATAGTGTTTGAAAAATAATTTGCATTATTTCAAGTTAACTCAAATATTAAATTTTTAAATTAATCTATTTTGAGTGCCTAATTATCGTAACTATTATGAATTTGTGAAACTGTTTTTCTGCTGCTATGAAAATCCAAAGAAAATAATGACTGCGCAAACGTACATATGTACATATTTATATATTTAAATAAATAAAAGTTGATATCTACACAAATAAGAATCGTTTCTCTATACATCCACTGTAATTTAATGGGAACGTGATCGCCTGTGAAAGGACAATAACAGTAAACAAAAATATTTATTCAAACTCATTCTGTTTTTGCACTAATAATATGGGTGTATGTACATATGTATGTACATAGGTGAGGTAATGGTAGTGAGTGTGTTGTCCTGTACGGCGCTATTTGTTGTGGCATTGCTAAAGTAAATATTGGTTGAGCTTTTTGAACTATGTATTTGAAAAGCGTTACCCACCACGCTACTCAGCCTTACCTATGCCCACTAGCACAGTGAACATTTGATTTTTACAAATTCTATTTACTTTGACATAAATTAAAAGCCATGCATTTCAACATTGATTACCAAATGTTATTAAAATGATGTGTTTTAATTTGCACAAAATGCAAAAATATTATTATCAATAGTGTGAAATTGTCTCGCAAACACCAGCAAAAATATGCTTTTATTTAGCATACTTGCATTTATACGCACACGTTTGCAATCCATTACTATTGAACGTACTGTGGTCAAAGATCGAAAAAAACTCTTAATTTTTGTAAAGGTTTTTAAAATAACAAGAGAAGACGAAAAATGTTCAAACACTTATTGAATAGAATTAGAAATTTAAAACAAACATATATATATATTTTTTTTTGATAAAAGCTTTACTGTTTGGTTTATTCTGTTTTTACAAGCTTTTATTTAACTTGCTTTGTATTTCGACAGCAATAGCGACACAATTCAAAATTAAAAAAAAAAAAAATATGTAAGATTACTACTGTTTAGTTGCTCATGTTTCTGATCCTTGTCTAATCCATGTAATCCATGTCTAATACTTAATACTTACTACTTATGGTTGCTAAATCTTAGCAGAGAGGGTTTTAGAACTCTCACCGGATACCTGACAGGACACTGCAGGCTGCATCTGCACAAGATGCGGCTGTCAGAGGAGACAAACTGCAGGTTTTGTGGGCTAGAGGGTGAAACCTGGGAGCATATACTATGTGATTTCTCGCGTATAACTCAACTCAGACTTATACACCTGGGAGAGCGACTATCGCCCCATCCAGAATCTGGAACATGTTTAGTTTTATTAACATTTTTAGGTTGGAGTGACTTGATAAGGGTTAGCACAATAGATCTAGCTAGGTCGCAGCGCTATATGGCCCTGATAATAATAATAATAATAATACTTACTATAGTAATCCTCACTACTTACTTTAGTAAGGAATAGGCATGAACTAGATTAGGATTAAAGGTCGTGCGGGATTTTATTTTTTGAATTTTAATATATGTCTGTATTGCAGAGGACCATCGATGTATGTATATATATATGTATGTACATAAG